ATTATTGTGAAAAAGTTAAATATTTTCAAAAAGTAAAAATTAATTCGAGACTCATCACAAGTTCAGTTTGATTCATTTACATAGAATTCAAGGTAGAGAATCCCCAACCAAGCATTAAGTGTATAAATTAACATACTTTTCAGAAGTTGGACATTTCTGTGTTGTAAATCTGGTTCTTTAACTGAGGACAACACTTTGAGATACTAGATTTCTGATTTTCATGAGCTATAAGCCATACAAGCCAAACAATTAAAGGGTTTGAAATATTTCCCTTTACATGTAATAAACATATACAATATATGAAAGTTTACCTTTTTGAAATAAATTACAAAAAAACAACTCTTTCACAATGTTCTAATTTTTGCTCTCACATATTTCCAGTGTATTCACTTAGTTTCTGACTGTGAGGTTACCGTACTATGCTTTGCTCTCTTTGTCGCAGGGGATGGAACTGAATCTCACACGGATGCTGGAAACACAGTTTTTTTTACTCCCAGAAGTGTAGCCACTGAGATACGCCCGTCTGGCCGACGCCTCCCACTCAAACACCTGAGGCTGTCAGTAATCCCGACCGCAATCACACTTTCGTTGTTAAACTTAACAACCACCCACGTAGGCGTTACGTGGGAGACTGGAATCTGTGCTGTGGCATTTTCACCCTTTATAATACACAAGCAGCACCGCAGCCAATATGTCACAGTTCACTTGATAGTTTGAAGAAACTGCCACAGTTGCAACATGCAAATATGTCTGATTGGGTTGTTTCTTGAAAGTGTGACCATGTGAGGCTGCGATACTGTTTTCTTAAAGGTGCAATAAACAAAAAGATGTGGAGAAAAAATAATAGTAACAGATGTGTGCTACATGATCTACACGAATACTACATTTACGAATGTGTGTGAGGATTTGTGGGTATTTTATGGTGTTTACTAATGATTTCATAAAATCTACAATCAATTAAACAAATATATTTAACCTCAAGTTCATTAATCTGTGCCCTTATACTGAAAAAAAGCTTTTACATGTAAAAATCTAAAGTACTTGTGATGTTACTTTTGTGGACCGAGCTGCTTCTAGTGTAAAATGTGAAGACTCTTCACTGTCTCTGACTCACAAACATCTGCATGTAGTGTACACACCGTACTGCACTTTACTCAATTCATGGATCAAACTTTTTCAATCTACTTTAATAGAAATTTGTTTTGAAACTGCGGCACAAATTTAATTACGAACCCTCTTTTTATTTTTAACATGTTGTTATCATGTTGGAGTTTAAACCTGCGACCATTTTGTGCGAGTTGAAATTTCAAGCAGTCGCATTCGTGCGTGATGATCATCAAGCTGTATTAGTGTCGCTGCAACCAGCACCTCCTGTGTTAACCACAGTGGGGGAAAGTAGCACTTTTATAACTTGGGTGGTGGTATTCACACTTCAAAATGAGGTCTTCTCTTGAAAAGTGGAGCGCACCTGCATTCGCTGTTTCCTATGAACGGCACATATAGTTAGGCTCCACATTGTAGAAAAAAAATAAAAAATCACTCGGTTTTACCTCGGACAAATCTGACATTAGAACACCCCAGTTTAAGTGTTTTTAAAGTATTTTTCAGTCGCACATCTGTGTGAGCAAACCGCAGCCACCAAAGCCTGCAATGTGTGGCGTTTAGGGAACACTGGTAAATTGTAGCGTCTATCGATAAGCACATATTTATCAGTGGTGTGTTTTACTGTGACCAGGTGAGACCAGTGAGAAAGTTAGTCTGCAGCCCTGCCTACAGTTGTGCAATTCAACCTTTGCTTCCATTTTGTACTGAGCTGCATTATACAAGGAGAGTTTGTCAAAATAAAACAAACTTCAATAAAACGGGCATTTTGTTGTTATGCCAGAAAACTAATCATTAAGTATAATAGTTAAATAATCTCAGCCATAGATTAAATAATAATCATATTCACTATATTCACAGCTGCAACTCTGGCAGCTTCAAACTCACCGACCCTGTTTTTGTCACACACCCTTGTAGATGCATTAGTCACCAATATTGCAACTTCTGATGTGCGCTTAACTTTCACAATGGCACGTAAATGCTGCGATTAGTGAGTGACTTACATAGCCAACGTCTGGCCGGTAACACGTGTAGGCTCCCAGAATGCTGTGCAGCACGTCATGGTAGGGCCCGCCCTGGTGATGAACAAAGAAAGATTAAAAAGAACAGGCCGAAAATACACCCAAGAACACACACACCCTTTCTCTGGCCTTCCTGTGTTACCTTTACTATTCCTTCCACTTCGGTGTAATAATGTATTTAACACACAGGTTAAAGGAGGTGTGTTCACTTATTTGTCAAACAAGAAAAATAATTATTATTCCAGCAGCAACATGTCATTTGTGTGTCTTGTTCAGCTTTTTTTTTTTCTCATTGTTCAGCAGAAGACGGGTTAGTGGAGCTTCTCTCACTGACCTTCTGGAAGATACAGAGTTGGGGGAAGGTTCTCGAGATGTCCAGCTTGATCAGCTCCAGACTCGACTCCCTGTCTGAAGAACCTGCATCTGCAAAACACAGCAACACATTAGGAAACACAAATGTGTGAGGCCATATGCCAAGAATGAAAGTAGTTTCTATTGCAGCTCTACCTTCAGTTTCAGTCTCTGTGGTGGGTGCTGCTGTGGTGTTCCACTTCTCTTTGGCCCGGGCCAGACAGATGCTATACAGCTCTGCAGGGACACAAAACAGCAACAAAGTCAATACGAGACAAAGAGGCGGGGGGAGGCAGAGGCTAAAGACACTGAGCAGAGAACATGATGACTGGACAGAAACCACTTGAGGTGATGAAAGGAGTCCGCGGCAGCAACACTGAAATGATTAAAGGAAACATCTCGCTCCTTTTCAGGAGACATTTATTTCATTGCGGTACACTGAATTTCAAAGCTCTCAGCCTTGACCTTTGTCTGCCCTCTAGTGATGAGATGCTGGATCGGAATAATGAGCTTGGGTGTGATGTGGAGCTCTGCATCGGCGGCGTGCACCCACTACCAGCACATTATTATTAACGGAAGTAAAAAAGGGCAACAGGCTCCTTGCAGGCTGAAGAGGCTCACGGAAAGAAGTAAAGATACACAGAAAGCAACAATTTCATAGATGTGCTAATGAATATGAAGAGTTCATTTGCAAAAACAGATAACTAATTTTCGTAGACTTTCAGAAAACTTTTTTTGTTGTTGTTTGCTTGAGATAATATCAAACTGAAGTTGAGTGGATTTGACTGAGCAGAAATGACACGACAAAAACAGAGATAACTTAAGTTTGATTGATATTATCTCAGGTAGATGACGGAAAAGTGGGTTTTCTGAAGGTTTGTGAAAATGGAGTCATCTATTTTTGCAAATTAACTCATATACTTCTTATATATATACTTCTTATATACTAACAGCAATATTTCAGACTTTTCTAACGTCAGCAGTGTGACTCAGAGGGACTTTTACTGGGGAAGAACAAACAAGACTAACAGTTAGGATTTTGTGTGACTTAGGATCAATTCATAACTTCTTAAAATGCATTTTCTCTGTTATTAACAAATTTCGTAAACTAGATCATTCTGAACAATGATGCTTTTGGAAATACGGATTCCATAATTTGAAGGTTTAAGGTATAAAGTTAGCAGTGACCTCAGGTTTTTAAGCCCTTTATTATTTATTATATGCTTAATTTGCTATTAGCAGTTCCATTCATACTACAAACAGATACTAGAGGATACACATGGTCTTCTACACAACTGGCCCCCAACATTTTACACAGACAAAAAAAAAAAAGACAACAACACAGGGCTTCCTTAAAAATTTCTAAAAGACTGGTTGTGACTTCTTTAATGAATGTAGCAGCTAGCGAGAGATTGGACTGTACAACTGTGTCAGAGTGAATATTGTTGAGCTGCACGAGTTCGTTGCCTTCCTGTTCCAATTACAGCTGACAGACACAGCACAAGACTTCTGGAGAAATTACAGCTTCCCACTATGTTTAGGCACCGTCGATGGAAAACATGGATCTGCGCTGACCTTTAACCCTTAGAGGTCCACCATCACGCTGGCGTGAGAAGGTCATATGATATTGGTGGGAAAAACTAGCGCACGTACGGTGATGCTGTCATCTTCACTCGAATGTGCAGACTTTAAACTGTCTGCCAGTTTTTTGTTTCATGTTGATAGACCACTTAAAACCGGAGATATAATGTCGTAAATGTGCGTGGAAAAAAAAGCGTATGACGTGTGCCACAGACGTCACATTTCTGTCAACATTTTGGTCATTTTTTGTCAATTTACAAAACAAAAAAAGTGAAAGAAAGTCCGTGGAAGTGCAGCTCCTGTGATGCGGCTGTCTGCCTCCTTCTGGACAGAAACTATGTTCAGGAGTGGCATCGATAAAAACAGAAAGAAAGTCACACCTGCTTTGTATATAGTTGCAAATATTTGTATTTTGTTTGATTTTATATCCAATTTACCTTTTCATGTTCATATCTGCAATCTATGGCTACATTTTCAACTATTAAAATGGTTCGTTAAACGTGTTTATGTTTTTCGTTGTAATAAATCCGACATTTTTCAAATTGGATTTTATGTTTTTTGTGTGTTTTTGAGCCTAAAATGTTAATATAGTAGGTTTAAGTGAAAAAATAATGGTCAGATCATACTTGTGATGAAATGAAAGATACTAAACATGTGTACCATAAACATGTTCCTATGTGGTATATGAAGAAAAGACTTAAAGTATGCAAAAACGACCAAAACCTCTAAGGGTGAAACGACACCAAAATACTGTGCTAATAGTAGTCACCTCGCAGTGGTATTAGCTTTAAGAAGATTTAGCAGTATTGTGGTAATTGGCAGTACAGCAGCAGCAATGCTAGTCGTCATTTTAACACCATCAGTATTAGCAAACTTAGCAGAAATGCTAGAAGCAGCATTATCAGCAGTAATAAACCTGCTTCGCATAAAGTGGACCAATACTGTCACTGAACTGCCACTTATGAAACGATGGACTTTGAGGGGGACTGAACGCTGTATTTGTGTGTGTGCAGTGTGTGTCCTGACGCAAAGGACCGTGGCCCCGTTTAAAAGGATGAGTAGCACAATCCAGAGCGGGCCAGCTCAGCAGTCAGCCAGCGAGCGAGCGCTTATCTGCGAGTAGCCCTGAGGGTGCAGAGGAAGCTCAGAGATGTGCAGGCGCGCACACAAGCGTACGGACTTCCGATCTGAAGTCGGTGCTCTTTTAGCAAGAGGATAATGAATCTTCAGTTTGTGTGTGAGTGCCTGCGTGTGTGTGTGTAATCTCCGTGCAGGCTCGGAGAACTCATTGAAATGCTGCTCGTTCCCTTTTGTAGCGGGGGAATCACTGGACCATGCTCTTGCTTAATGGACACACTCTTCCTTCCTCTTGTATCAGTCTCACTGCCACTTATTCAATTACAAACGCTGAGACAAATTGCTACATCCATCTGTGTGTGTGTGTGTCATCTTGTGGGGACACACACCTGTCTACAGCTACTCATGAAGTATTTTAAGTGTGTGGAGTAGTCACATGAGCAGGTTGAAAGTTCCAGGTAGGGTCAGTAATGTTAACAGGTGAAGCTTTTAGTAATAGATCTTCAAATAACTCAGTGACTTATGTGTGTACCGTGTGTGATGTTGAGCTCGTTGCCCACAGCCAGGCTCCACACTTTGCCTCTGACGCTGGGGGGGATGCCCTGCCACCACAGGTCCCTCACTCGTCGGGAGGTACACCTGTTAAAAGGGTGACATGTCAGCTGAATGATGAAAAAACAAGTGGAGCACATCAAAAGGTAACAATACAGCTGCAGCGAACAATCGATTTATTGTCAACTTTTAAGTTAATCCTCACCTTTTGATCATCGATTAACTGGATTGAGAAATTATTTGAAATTTAAAAAAAAACTCTAAATCCTCTGATTCCAGCTGAAATGTGATTATTTTCTGCTTTCTTTCCTCCTCTGTAACAGTAAACTGAATATCTTGGGCTTTGGGATACACTGATGATGATTTTTCACCATTTTCTGCCTTGTTTTTTTAATTTTATTTTTTTACACTAAACAATTTCAATCAAGAAAATAATCAACAGATAAATCCACAAAAAAAATAATCATTAGTTGCAGCTCTACTTGCCATTTGAGTTTCATGGTGGAAACCCATCACTGATCAATCTGGACCACTAGGTGGCAGTCAACACTTCCACTGCACATTGCAGCAGTCAACGATTCCACATTAAATGCAAGAAATGACTTTCCTTCAGAAAAAAAATAATCCTTAAGCCTTCTTGTTTATGTTTACCCCATATTTTACTATTTCCACTCTCTATATTGTCCTTAATTGGTGTTGTTGTGGGAATGCCAACGTAATTTGACAATTAGGTTAATTAAATCTGGTTAAAGAGCATTTGTTTGAGCTATTTTGAAGCATTAACGAGGGAAAGTTAGTCAAGCAAAACCCCGAACTGAACTCTTCACACTGAAACTGTCTGATTTTCACATTTGGAAATTAAGCTGCAATGTTAATAAAAAAAAGTTCTTACACTTGCAGGAGGATATTTATTTAGAATATTTTGCAATACAAAGCACAACTTGTGTGACTGGCACTTACAATGATATTTATTCAAATCACCACACACGTGAGGCGGTCATGCTTGTAAAACAGGTTCTGTTAATTAGTCATCATGTCTGCATGATCTGTTTGTATTGTCTCCCTGCAGCGCTGCTCTGTAGCAGCTGTTCACTGTATAATATGTACTATTATACTATTAAGTACTGATGAGGTGTGCTTTTATGAAGGTAGTTGAGTAGCATTCCCTTTGCAGGCCTTCAGGTGTTTTCAGCTTTGGTTTAATGGGTGACTGAGAAACACATTGTTAAAACTTGATGTCCGACGCAACACATTGATATTTAAATTTCATGGATTAAACTGAGAAAAAAACGCAATATGAAGAAGTGTACACTAGCACGGTGCTGTGAGGGTGACATCTGTCTCTTATGTTTGCCAGGAGTTTATAGGGGCAATCCCTTATCTCAGCGTAAATGTGGGCACATGTTGAATCCCGATAACAAATCTGTCACTGATTTATTTTTTTTTCTACGAATACCACTGTACACTGGAGTTGTGGCATCTCTGTTGTAGGAGTTTCCTTATTTTTGGACTGTGTATATAACAGCGATATTGATTCAATACTTGTTTCAAACACCACTGTGTCATTTTCGCTCAGGCTGGAAACTGGTCCAACAAATGAATGTAACAAGAGCCCTTTCTGAGCATTTTATTGGATTACTAAACTAATAGCTGAGCAAAGATGGCATTTGTCTGTATTTAATCTGATATCATGAGCTTCCCAAAGGGACCTGGCTGCTTTTTAATTTATTCTCCATGTCCAAGGCCTTGACAGTACAAAACAAAACAAGAGCAACAGTGAGCAGCAGTCAGCAGTTACTGTAATAATCAAAATCACATTTTCCAATAAAAGATGATGGGACTTGTTAAATCTTTTTATGTATTCAGAAGACATTAAATTAAATAACTGCTCTTTGTTTAAAAGCTTCAGAACTGTTGGTATTGAAACATTTCTTCTCTGCACAAAGGATTGAAGCGAAATTAAAGCCACAGAAAAGGTGTTTCCAGGTGAAATACTTTGAGCATCAGTGTTGTTATTCATAGTATATATAATGTACATCTGCATAGTCTTTCTTTGTACTCACACTGTACTCCAGTGCGGTAAGATCTCTTGGTTCCAGGTCTGTGCTGCTGTTCCAATGCTCTCCTCAAGCTTGCATCGATCCTCCAGTTGCTTCCTCCTCTTCTGAGCCTCCTTCAACTCTGCAGAAAAAAAGGCGGTTAAATATAGAAATAGAGGGAAACTGACAGAGAAGGGAGGACAGCTGGCTAAAAACAAAAAGATAGAGAGAGTCCTGTAGGATGCTAGGTTTTACAGAAAGGCAGAGGAAAGACAAAGACAGATTCTTTCATCAGATTGTTGGGGTGGATTTCAGTGGCCTCACCTCTTTTCTTGGCCTGGGCCACCATCTCTTCATACTGCTGTCGGTGTTTCTGGGCCTCCTCAGCTGGCTTGGCGGGCAGATTACTGTAACACCACGCGCATGCACATGAGGCAAAATGGGTTAGCAACTATGTGTTCTCTGAGCTTAAGTTGCATTATTCATGGTGTGTAAGCCTGTAGTGTATTAAGGGAGCCTTCCTATCTTTGGTCTAGCAACTTGCGTTTGCATATGGAGTGAACTCTCTGCACTCTGAAGTACATGTCCCACAGCAGCGTGAGTGATTTCATATGTTATCATGCATTCTAACTTGCATTAAATTAGCCTTTGCATCTTTTACAAATCATTTAAGAGAGCATGATTGATTCTCAGTTTATCAAAACCACACGTCTGATGTGTAGTTAGTAGCTGCTTGTTCAAAATCAATGTGAGTTGTCATCCGACTGATGCACAAATTCAATAATCGGGTTAGAAAAAAGCATATTTAAGGTGCAGTAGATGAGATATTGACCATGAATATAGCTTTAATATAGACACATAGACTGGAGTAAACTTACATGTGTGGAAACTGACACTCACAAACCGGAGCAGAACACACAAAAGCCGAACTAAACATGTTACTCAAGATATCCACAATGTATTCCAGCCATTCAGTGTATTTTACAATGCTGGCGTGGGCGAATGGTTGCGGCCGGATTAGTTTTGGAGTCTTGGGTAAACAGTCTTTCTGGTTGTAATAGCAATGTGAAAGGAAGGGAGAGGCAAGTCATGTGCCCTTTGCTTTGGTCTGAGAGGTCATAAAACCGCACGTGTGTGATCCCTCACCTTGTTTGAGATATCTAACTGATGACTCATCAAATACTGAGCAAGCAGGTTTATTCTTGATGACAAGCATCAGATGCTGCATCTCAAAGAATTTAAAGAATGCACAAAACATTTTAAGACAGATAGCTAATCTGTTCTGATGAAGAGCTACTTATATGAGTAAAGCTTCAGGGCAGCTACTAAATTGACCTTAAAGTAAGACAGCTTTGTCACATGGAGGAAAAACTCAATATGCAGAATTTTAAAATTTTGGCTAAAGATTGACACTAAATAGCGAAATATAAAAAAATAAATAAACCAAATTAAATTCTAAGGATGATTTTCTGTTGACTGACTAATCGTTGCATCTGTACTTTCAACCACGTCTGACTGTTCTGAGCCAACTGAACCGCTGATGAACCCGGAAATGTGGTCCACAGAAAGCCAGTAAGTGTAACTGGAGTGGATTTGCTTTGTCCTTTTAGAAAATGCTCATTGTGCACTCATTGTAGATTTCAGTATTCAGCATTTTAGTAGTTTATCAAAGGTAGTTACACCAAAAGAAACCACTCTGATTCCTCTACAAAACTTTAAATATATGCTTTTAAGTTTAATTAAAATATCCAATATGTGCCCCTTTCTCAATCATTCTTGCCAGTAGAGGATGGCAGTAAAGAAGAAGTGCAGACATATGTGAGGCTGCATGCAGCAAAAAAAAAAAAGGAAAAAAAGCAGCAGCTGAGTACACAGTTTTGCTAGTCATGGTGCTAGAATAAACTTCCTGGTGTTCGCAGGGGACATCTGGCTGTTTTCATTCACGAGTGCTAATTTCACAGTGAAGCTACTGAATGGAAGATGAAGCCCAGCATATGTCTGTTAATCTGTCTGTATGCTAACAAAAATACAAAAAATGCTAAAAAAGAAAAACAGGCCGATGGAGCCAGGCTCAGGGAGGGCCATTAAACTTTCAGCAGCACTTCTCTTTTACCATCTGTGATACAAACAGGGACACAGTGAGAGCTGGAACGACGCTGAATGATGTCTAATGATCCGGCGGAGGAAGGAGGCCTGATAAAGACGGAATGAGAGGAAGACGGAGATAGAAAGACAACAGATGTGGCTTAATTGTCTGATAAGCAAACTCCACAGGCAGCGAGCGAGAAAGAAAAAAAAAAAAAAAAAAATGTGGGATAGCCTAACAGCTCCAAGATATCACAGTGCATGTGTTCGTGTGTGTTTACATACGCGGGTCTGTCCTCCAGAATCAATGCAGTGGTGGAGAGGGGCTCAAAGTCCAGGTTTTTCCTCACGCTCTGCCTGGGAGATGTCGGGTTGCCAGGTCCAGCTCTGCCACTCTTTGTTTCATATTCCTGGTGATGAAAAGGCAAGATTTTAAGACACGTGGACTAACAGTGTAACAGGGAACACCATCTTGCTTTTGAGGTCAGTGTGAATGGGCTATATTTAGTTTCACATTGCTGCTGGCAGTGACGTGTGCACAGCATCCAGACGTGCACACAGTGAAGAATGGACGGAGGAAATTTGGAAGATTAGTAGTTTTAAATTGCATGACAAAGTAGCGGCAGCCAGGGAAAATCGCTACAAGGGTCACAGCTGGCCTCAAAATCCATGTTGTGGCTAGACACAGACTGTTGGGATTGAATACAGGGGAGAGAAAAGAGAGTAAAAGAAAGGAAAAGGAAATAAAGAGTATGTATGAAGCCATACAGAAAACACCGGGAAACGTCTTGACAGCCTCGTGACGATGCTCTTATGCCCTCTGAGAATTTGTCAGCTGGTATCTAATGAATGTGTGGTTTCTGCGAGCGTGATTCAGGGCCGACAGAAAGGGGAAGCCATGTGACAGTCAGTCAGTTACAGCTAAGGTCGCCGAGCAGTTTAACACAAGGCCGACTGTCAGCTGACTTCTAAGCTGTGAGTATGTGCATGAATTAGGGAGCACAAACAGTTCAGGGAGCACCTTTAGAAAACGGTCTTGCTAGTTAATTGGGAAGCTACTGTAAATGGGGCGAGTGCAATACGAGCGCATCCCACTGCGTGTCCAAAATGGCCTCCGGTGAGCGTTGAGCTGGTTAATAATGCAGGCTGCAGGTCTGCATGCAATCAGCTTAACGCTGTGCTGCCACAGACACGTTCGCATTGATCAGCGCGCAACAAAAACAGAAAAATCCATTCCTACAATAGCAGTGTGTGTGTGTGTGCTAGTGATACATCGTATTCATCTGTCTTTGTGTTGCTGTCTGATGTAACAGAGCCTGGTTTCCATTGGCCTTGAGGGGCAAATAAAGGTAATTGAATTATATTGAATTTGTGCTCGAGGATGAGTGCGGAATATAAAAGTGCCACCAGGCAACATTAGTGATGATTTACCTGTACTTACACTGCAACTAACAAAATTGGTCCCTTTACTGGATGAATAAAAATGTCACAAAACAAAAAGATTTTCATTTAGTAAGATGCTCTTAGATATTTAGTTCTTTTACCGACTAGTAGATTCAATTTCCTCCAAAGTTAACTTCATTTTTGACAAACTCTATGTCATCGTATACTGCAGCACAGTACGAAACTGTCAAGTTACAATGGAAACTCCTACGTGACACTGAAAATATTCCTAAAGCCCAGTTGTCAGAGTCACTAACAACAAAAGAGACATCCTGATCATTGCTTTTACTTTATATTAAAAAGCTGTAAACGTCAGATTAGTTCAGATAGACAGAAATCTAGCTTAACTTAAAAGTGATGTGTGCACTGTTCTAGCAGCGAAATAAAGCAAATGTGCCAACTCTGCTCCCTCTTTTAAGATTCTAGTGAGTGAATGACTGCAGTGCTGGATTAGGAGCCTTCACAAAGCCACTGCTGGATGGAAGCGACAGACAGAAGCAGATAATGCAGCTTTACCAAAAAAAAATAAAGGGAGAAAAGTAAAAAATACCACTCCCAAGTATTTACATATCATATCCTGCGAAGAATCAAGAAAGGTCAAGGCAGAAAAAGTAAAGATGTCTACATTTCAGAGCACTTAAACGCAGCAGGGAAGTGCAAGTAAGATGAAATAACAGAGTGATGAATTAGAGGGAAGAAGTGGATGAAAAACCTCGACTGAGAAATGTCAAAGACATCTCTTGAGGTTTGGGCGTCAGGGGAGAGCAGCTGACACAGAAGACGGGAAGAAACAAGGGCGATGAAGGAAGAGGAGAGGCTGGTGGTTGGAGCGCTGGAGGAATACTGTTCCCCCGCTGCTAGAGAACAGAGGTGACTCATGGGTAAGAATCCACTGAGGATGATCTGAGAGAAGAGCCACCCTGTCTTATTTGTGCGTATTGTCCCTTGATTCTCTTTTGGTGTCCATATCCTCCCTTTTATCTGCTTTGCATCTGTCTGTCTGTCTCCCACTCCCCTCTCGGCCTTTCTTTCTTTCTCTGTGTTGAATATTATCACCGGGCTGCAGGTTTGGCGTTATCGGCATCAAGCTGACAGTCAAATAAACGTATCACCAATGCACAGGTAGAAAAGGCCTTCATGGTTAAGTAGCATCAATGACATTAAAGCTGAATTGGTTCAGTAAAAATATACCACACACCTTTAACATCAAATGACTCTAATGTGAAATAAGTCGCTTGTAATGAGAAACCCACAAAGAATTATTACCACATCTGCAGAAGCCCTCAGTCTAGATAGTTTTAGCATCTTCCTGCAAATTGTTTCGGTTTTACAGCCTGCAGCATCACAGCCTTGCCACCTCCTTTTGCAGCTCCAACAGGCAGCTGTAAATAGCTGTCTGACAAATCTGTACAAGCTCTGATTATACCACTGCATACAACTTGTCCAGCACCAAACATGAGACAGATTGCAATTCGCTGGTGAAGAAAGTTGAACATATAGCAACCAGATAGCATCATGTATTTTTCTAAGGAGAAAATTAAGCCTAAAGAGAGTGAAAACTGGACTCTGATTTGCCAAGAGGTTGGAAATATGACTCCAAATCAATGTTGATGTAGCAACTGTTGTAATATGTCAATGTTATATTTACAGCTATCCTGACGTGTTCAAAACATATGTCCACCAATACTGTCACAGCATCTTTACTAGTCCAGGAAATTTCTCAGTATTTACTACAACTTCTAAAATGTATTTATTCTCAGAGCAGAGCATTGCTGACAGAGCTCATCACTTTGGTTTGGAGGTTGCATGTAATCAGAGTCCTGAACGTGAGCAGCGTTCGCTCCCAGCCTGTGTTAGCACGTGGAAACCCTAGTGTAGAGTTGGCATGAGGCTCACGTAGCTAGCTAAACCGGACAGCCATCGGACACCTTTCTCACAAAGTTCATCTACACAGCAGTTTGCAGTTAGACAGCAACCCTTATGGCCAGTCAGCAACTCCATCTCATTAAACAGTACAAGACCTTATCTGGTGCAAGCAGGTGCGACAGCAACTCTACAAAATATTTTCTGACATTCACATCACCTGTCTTCTGTCTTATCCTTTCATGTTATTTTTTTAGAACAGCTGATTTCTTACCAGAAAAAATCAATTAAAGATCAACCAACTGATCAACTCCAAACAATTACAATATCAATATGCTATAAGTCGTGATGGATAATTCTAGTTCATTCTAATTTTAGTAGTTTTGATCATCGTGTTGGTCAGTTATGATTACAGCTGTCACAACATCAGATTTTCAGCTGAAGATTATTGTGGCCAAAAAGGTTTCTGATGATTATATTTTTGCGATATCTATAAAAATGAGATTTTATTTGATTAATATTTTTATTTTTTTGTCTCTTTTATGGCAAATGAATTGGAGGGTAGGGAGGTGTACACACAGTCTGTAATCATAACTGTAATTTATGTTGTTCCTATGTTGGTGTGTAAACCAGATAGTATTATGTGTGTATTATTAAAACAATATCAACAATTTATTTATGACGAATCACAGTTATCACCAGTATATTGTGACATAGTTATGATCCTGACCAAGGTTTATTCAAATAACTCAAACCATTTGAAAAAGAACAATATTTTCTGTCCTGTAAAGGGTCGTCTTCAGTCAGTATTGAAAAACTGTGTGCTTTAATGAAGAGGTAACATGCATGAGCTGCTGTTCAGTACATTAAGGGCAGTGGGCACCCGAGGGAGCAGCTGCAGGTCAATAAAACAGGTAACGCAAAGCTTTGCACACTGGATGGATACTGCAGAGAGAGGGAGGAGGGGGGGTGCACGGAGGAAGAGCAACACTCAGGGAGATTTAGTAGAGGAGGAGGGCGACCTGGCATCTGTTCAGCAGCAATGCAGGTGCTACCGACAAGGTGAAACACAAGAAAGGGTGTGTGTGTGAAGCTGTGCCGAGAAGTGAGGAAGATGAATGAGGAAGTTAAAATGACAATAGCTAAGTCGGTGGTGTAGGAGAGCTACGAGTTCTTGAGGATGAGAAATATCGACTGTAAACTAGCCAAGTTATAAAAGTAATGACAAAAAAGAAAAAAGATTGATGTTGGCAGTGAGACAAACGAGCAAAATCCAGTAAATGGAAAACCACATTACGGTGCATTTGTGTGCTAACTGACAGATGGTTCTACTAGTTAATCAGCATCTAACCCTTCCTCCTGGAGCTGTTAACTATTAGCACTGGGGCAGACTTTTGTTTCATCCTCTGCTGCAGAAAATGCAAAGAGGCTCATGATACATAATGAAAGCTGGTTACAGCTGGTTGTGTCAAACATATATTTTAAAAGTACTGAATATAAATTTCATTCAGTGCCAGTTTTTGGTACTTAGTGCCACAGAGGCATTTAATTAGTACAACAGCTGTATCCATGCATCCAAATTGTGTTCGGAGCTCATTCCAGGAATCATACTGATGCACCGCTCCTTTCCTGCCTCTATTTGAGGCTCTGCAACAATGTTTTCTCACCTTTTTGGCTTCAAACCCCTGAAAACTAACTTGCAAAACAATAAAAACAAGAAGTCTCCCTTTGATGAGGTAGTAATTTCACCTAGCTCTGTATGCTAAAGTTCATGCTCACAGTTTGAGTTTTAATCTGCAAAGTTCTCCAGTAATCCTGCGCTGTTAGTGAGGCCCCTTGGCTACATGGCTCCAGACTACTAGACAGATTGAGACAGATGATGAAAGATCCCTCAACTCAGAGTTCAACTTTGAGAAACAAGCGTGCAGCTGATCAAAACCCACACCTTAATGTGAGTGTGACACCGCCTGCCTGATTATGGCGTCATGTTACAGGATACAGTTACATTTTCATTAATGGAAAGCTGCCAACACAAAGCAGAAAAGCTGAAAGAGCAGAAACAAAAAGCTCACAATGGCTACACTTGTTTATAGTATACACTTCTCAGGGATTTAACACTGAAAAGAAAGACCAGTCCCACATAAGGGGTCCCCACTAGCAGCTTTTAGCTGGGGTAGCAACTATATCCTCTGATTACCTGCCACCAGGGCAACCTGCTTTGTCACGCTGGCTTTCAGTAAAGTTCTCCAATTTCCTGGTAGTGATGTAAGAGCTCTCTGGGTGCCTGGCTGCACTGACTGGCTGGCTGGCAGCCATGCTGGCTGCTAATGGCCTTTACAGTTTAAAACTACAGAGACGAGAAAGCAGTGCTCTGAAGCTGACATCAAGCTGTTTTCTTTACTGATATACAGCTTGTCAGTTGGAAGCATCACAACATGCGGTCCAACAAAGTCTCACATACAAGTAAAACTCTGCTTTAGAAAACATCGGTGTCACTATTGATTTATAAAGTGTCTTCCTATGTGGCCATGGATTGCTCTCTCTGCAACATAGCCTCATGAAAACACCACTGGCTTTCTTGAAAATGTAAGCTGAGAGATGAAAGGCCACAGCAGGGGGGCTTAGCCTGGTTTCACTGCATGCCAAACTGCTTCAACTGACAGCCTTTCAATGAAAGTTGCTTCAGGCAAACCCCAACAAGCACAGAGTGAAGTGGAAGTGAGTCAGATGGCTGCTGTGTGGTTGGTAGCAGGTAGTAGTTGTGTGTGTATCTGCAGGTTAACTTATCAGAACTGCTACAGTTCATCACGATTCCATTGATTTGTACAGATGATTACATAAAACGGTGATTATTATACTTTCCCGTTGAAGGAACCCTTCATCAAGTTGATGTCTTCTGTGGCTCTGAAGCTGCTTTGATACCTCAATCACCCCAATGACATGATGTTATCAGATTTACCACAGCTCGAGCTTGATGACTACAAATTTCTTATACAAACTCTGTGTCATGATCTAGGGAATGAGATGATCAGTTTACTTGACAGTCAGGGTCTAACAATAGATAGCACGGGCTGCATTACGGGACGTGTAGGATGCAACATATTAGAGCTAATGACCTCATTCTGAGGACTGAAACCTGAATGTTTCTGCTGCTCTGATGTTGACCTTTTTAATCTGCTCCTTGTGAGTGCAACACTAAACTGTGATGCAGCTGATGAGTGACTGCCACATCAGAGCGCAACAACGTAAACAAAACTGCATCAGGTAACAAGTTGACCTAATTTAAAAACCTCAAACGGGGGAAGTAAAACGCTAATTCCGTGACGTTAGTTTGAAGTAAATAGAATTTTTTGCTGTAACACTGTAGTACTAAGTTACTGGGCTCCTTTGCATCATTTTATGTTGCATTCGGATGTGGGTTATAGCATCAGTTGCATTTTGGGGATTTTGCTTCTAAATTTCAAACACTGTGAAGCTAGTTGTTTCTGGTCACTGGATCCATCAGTGAATTCTGCTGGTGAAAGTGTCTTGCAAGAGAGATTTAGGACCGCCGTTTTTTAATCTTCTTCTTATCTCATTACTGCTACTGCAGGTTAGGCTGATCTCTTTCATTAGACTCGTTTCTTTCAGCGCTCTGATTCATGTAATGTACCAGGAGCATCTATAAAAAGGAACAAATCAGTGAGTTTCTACGCACTGACAGCTAAATGGCCTGTAGCGGCAGAGAACCGAGTTTAATCTCGGAACAATCAAGAACCACAATGTCACTTCGTTTTGAGTCGAACACATCCCTGATGAAATTAACCTCGCCGTCGAGCAAATCCATCTAATGAGAGCCGCGTACGTGCTTAAGTCATGCGATTATCCTATTTGGCTGTTCATTCATTAAATATACCTAAAGGAATTACTAACTATTGTTTAATTTGCTTGCAGAATTGCTGGCACACAGCAGCTGACACACTAACAGTTACCACAGGGGAGCTGAGGAGGAGATCTGGCAGCTTTAGACAAAATAAAGGAAATATGTGATATCCAGACTAACAGATGGAACTACAAACATTGGCATCAAATGCTTTTTTTTTTTTTTTTACCAAATCATGTTTTACTAAAAAACAGCAATAAACACGAGACCTACTTCTTCAGCTGGTAAATGAGCTCTGTGTCTCTTTAACTATATTGGTTGAGGAAATTCCTTGACACGCTTCAAAAAGCCAAAACAAAAAAAGAAACGATGCTGTCACACTGCTACACGTGCTTCTGTTGCACTAAGTTGACGGCTACAGATCAGGTTACACGCAAAGAAGATGATTCATCTCCTAGGTGGACATTACATTAAGTCCATCAATGCAACCTGGAAACCAGACATTTTTTTTTTGTCTTTCTGCAGACAGAGACATCCTGACAATCACCTCCCCGCTTCCCCACAGGGCTACGGTGAGCTGAAAGAGGCTATTGTGTGAAACCTGAGCCATCCTTTTTCCTCCGCTGCCTCGCTTTCAAGCTCTGACTACCAATGCCCTCTGATTCTGCCAGACAAGGAGAGAGACAGTGGGTCACCGCGTTCAGCCACTTGTCCTCACGGTGCGACTGCTCACTCACCATGAACGCTGCGGTTCCTTACAGACGGCCAGTCCTCCGGTGGGGGTTCGTTTCCAAAACCCTAGCCTAGCGTCATCGCTGCTCCGTGGGGCTCACTCCTGGCAACTGGACACCCAGGAGGTGAAAAAGGAGGGCAGAGGGACAGTCAAGCTGCCGACGGAGGGACACACCCCGCATTGCAAAGGATGCAGCAGCAGCATGATACCCTTATTTCCTCCCCCCTCTCCGTCTCTCTCCCTCTTTCTCTCTCTCTCTCTGAGCAGTGACGCTACGCTGATCCGCTCTGCATCAGGTCTATCTCTGCTGCTGCTGCTGCGTGTGTCAGCAAATCAGCACCGCCGTGTGTTGTTAGTCACCGTCGCTGCACTGAAAGCGGCTCTGCGCTCTGCTGTGCCCTGGCAGTCGATCTAATCAACCCCAGAGCAATAGATTAGGTTTCAGCTACTCAGCCCTCTGCTCTCTTAATCCAGTCAGGACTGAATGAGCAGCTGTAGCTTAAGTGCCATTACAAGCTCTACATATTATTATCTGGGAGTTTTAGGGTTTTCTGCATATTCAGTGAGCCACACGAAATATATACACTACTCACAAAAAGTTAGGGATATTTAGTTTTCAGGTGAAATTTCAGGATGCACCTAAAATGCACTATAACCTTTACAGGCGAACCTTCTCTAAACTTTTGAATGCACATGTCCAGCAGTTCAATGTTTCAGTACTTTCTGGACAACTTGCTTTTCTCTAACAAGGAGCTTAATGGCAAAATTCACAACAGTGTTTGATCCATGACCAATACATTTCCTTGTTCAATTAGAATTGGTATTGAAACAGTCCTCCCCATCATGCTGTTCACATTTTGACATCATGAGACCAAGACGACACCGAACAGTTGATCAACAGTACGCCATCACTGCGAGGCGTCAATCAGGATGTTCTCTGACAAAAGTGGCCACTGAGCTTAGAGTGTCACAGAGTGTCATCAGCAGGTTGCAATAGATACCCCTTTTCCACTGCGCTGGTTCCAGTGCTAGTTCGGAGCCAGGGCCTGACTTAGCACCAGTTCTTTGTGTTTCTACCACCTAAGCACGAGCTCCAGGTTCGTAAAACTGGTGCCTAGCAAGCACCAACTCTTTACTGGGCCAGAGCTAAGAACCATCAGGGGCTGGGGGCGGGGTTATTGTGACCACCGAGACCGATGGACACACAGAATGGGACACGAAATGGTGCAACAGTGTGGGCAGGTGTGTCTAGTCAATACAAAATTCCCTACACTTTGTGAATGGTACATTGACAAGCCTGCACTACCTGAACAACATCATTAATCCAGTCATTGTGCCCCTGCATGAACAACACAGGCCAAGTTTCATCTTCATGGACGACAATGCTCCAGTTCATAGAGGTCGCATCTTTAGGGAACGGCTGCTGGAGACTGGGGTACCTCAAATGGACTGGTCTGCACTTTCTCCAGACCTGAATCCCACAGAAAACCTATGGGATTAGCTGAGTCAGCTGAGCCGTGTAGAGGCTCGTAACTCTGTATCCAAGAACCTCAATGACCTCTTCAAGAACAGTGGGATGCCATGTCTCAGCAGACAATAAGTCGACTTGTGAACCGCATGAGATGTCGTTGTCAAGCTGTAATTGATGCTCGAGGGCACATGACAAGTTATTGAGGCACTGACATTTTTTGTTGTGGTATACCCCCCACTGCTGTTGGCTTTTGTTTCAATAAATTGTTTGAAAGGAGGAAATCACATTGCATACTTCTATTGAAATGCCCTACTTTCATGATATAATACCAATGTAGGGTGAACTTTTTTACATTTTCCATAACTTTCACCCGAAAGCCAAATATCCCAAACTTTTTGTGGGTAGTGTATGTATAAAGTGGTGTCGAGAGTAATGGTGTGGCATAATGTAAAAGGTTCTTTTAAAAATAAAAAGAGGGGTGCATAGAAATCTAACTTTTAACAGCCCTTTGACTGGTTTCCTGCAAGTTGTTTCATTTCTAAACATTGATAATATCCATAATTACAATATTATGACATGATCGTGCAGCAGATGCTTTAGTAGGGCTGCTTATGGGTTTGCTGCTGATATGAGAATGATAAGAAAGCATGGAGATAACGAATTAAAAGTTATCCTAACAGCAATTTAAAGTTGTCTCTTAAAAATCCAGCTTTATCAGGAGAGAAACTGGGATGATAAAGGTCAGAATGCACCAGTGAAAATTAAACAAAAACACAATATTTTTTTTTTAAAATGCGTAGAACCATAACTGCAGTTGACTCTTTAAAAAAAAAAAAAAGAACTGAAGAAAATGAATATGATGACATTAAATGGTTAAAATACTAATTATTAGCACCAAACAGTCCATTTCACTTCAACCATAACGTCAGTACTGCCCTTAAAATCCCTCATTTATTAAATTCCAGAGGGGGTTTCAGTGACTACATTAAAATTAAAACTACTGCTGGGAATATTGTCCAATTTCAATTCAGTCTCAGTCCTTCGTCGCCGTAACTCAGGCGTGTCTGGGCGGCCACACAATATGATTTAGAGGCTCAGCAGGTTACAGAACAATTACTTTCTGCAGCAGGCAGCAATTCACTGTGACCACGACATTGTCGGCCTTGAGATACAGTGGAGAGCCACGTCCCCAGACTCACAGCTACACAAAGTGGTGCAAATTAGACTACAACATTTGATTCACAGCTTTGCTTCCGAAGGGGGAAAAGATGCCGGCTGGAAAATCATGGAAATGTCTTGGAGCAGCTGAACAATAACCTGGGCAAATAAAGCACTCCACACACACAGACTTCAGTAACCCCGCCTTGAAAAAGCAGCGGCAGGACAATAGCTCGAAACTTTAGCCTTGTTAGTCGACTCCTCGGGTCCAGTGTACGGTTACACCCACAGATGAGATGGACTCCGGATATTAAGCACGGCTGTGTGCACATGAGTGTTTGCATGTGCACATGGACGCAGTTTCAAAGCATTGCAAGTCAACACGCGGGTATATCATTTGCAGCAAAGGCGTGAGCTGCAGGAAGCAAACATTACCAAGCCTTTTAAAGCAGGCTTCAAAAGCACAAAGAGCACAGAAAAGAGAGCTGCTTCCCTGGTGTCAGACATGGGCTAAATGGAAGCACAATAACAGGTTTCTCCAGGCTCTAATTACAGGCTGCCATCTTGTTCTTTGGTTTATTTTACCAGTAGAGAGCTGTCCTGCTCTTTAATTGGGCCTGAGACACTCTCCTGTCTGGCTTCTGAATGGAAGTGGGAAATTATAGGTGTTCAGTCACCAGCTGGCTATCTAGCAGAGTGTTCTCAAAGACCTTGACATTTTGAACACTGCATCACATGCACGTGGTATGTTGGAGCCACACTGAGCTTGGAGCCGGGCACAGAAAAAAAGCAGAACTCTTGTGCACGTTTCTAAAGGAGGGCATCGATAGCGCATCCAAACAAGCAGGTGCATGGCCCTGTTTGTTTGTGTTGCATGTCAAACAATTATTGTGTCTCATTTCTATGCAGCTAATTTTCATTTTAAATATACACATTTTGACCTCTGGAGAAGCTACAGCCACTTGCAGAACTACAAATCATTTACAAACATTGCAATTTTGCTAAAAGTATGATACTAACCACAGCACGTTACATAGAAATATGCAAAGCCATTCCACAAGAGCAAACATATCTTATGCAGAAACATAACAATCATTTATGGTATTTTTTGTCAAGAAATTTAGAAACAAAAGTGGTCTATGGTAGGCGTACATTTCCACTTAGTTGAAAAATGATGCCATGCTTAATCATTTGAAATTTTCTTACATTGTGTCCATTTGGTTAAGGAGGATCAGCAAAGTAAGAATCTTATTGTCCAGTATAACCATCTAGTTCTCTGTGCATGCGACAATACACCTCTTGAATTGACATTTCTGAGTTCTCTCTCCTTCTAGCCATGGCTGTGCTGTTTCCACAGAGGTGTGAGACTTTCTTTTGCAGTGAAAAATCACCCCATAGTGGGAAAAAATGTGACAAAACATAACCAGAGGATTAAACCCCCGCAAACTTAACTTTGTGTGTCAAGGTTACATATTTAGGA